TTCATGTCATTAGCACCTCTAGTAATATATTTACTGAGAAAAATGGTGACGTGTTCAATACTTATTTTACCCGCTGTATATAATCTCAAATAGGGGTAGATATTATAAGATTTTTTCTTCTTTCTGCTACCTTTCATTTTTATTTGATTTGTATTTTTTGTATGTGAATTTGTTTGTTTTAAATTAAATGAATAAATGTTGTCAACAAATAAAAACAATCACCCAAACAAACCACCAATCCTGGCCTTCCTCTGCAATAAACCATGCACTTTACCCAACTGCAAAGCATTATGGGTCATCCACATAACACAGCATTGTGACAGAGAATACTGCGTCCCCCTAACTGGTGGAGCAACACTATATTTATAACCCCAAAATAWACGTCTAAACCAGAAAATAAAATGAAACCTAACCTCAGTGAACTGTAAACAGTCAGAAGAAGAAACTCTAAATCAGGGGGGGTCAAACTCATTTTCATTGAGGGCCACATGAGTGTTATGGTGGTCCTCGAAGGTCCACTCTTACTGAACTTTGATGTTTCATATTAAACTTTGACTAAACAGTTTTAACACGTCCTGTTTTAAACACTGATAGGAACTAAGTGTATGACTGACTAATATTAATAGTAAAACTAAAAAAGTTTTGCTCTCTGATGAGTTTCTAGTGAGGAGCTGCATTATGGCAGATTTAGTTTATGTTTAATGGTGACTTTAAAGCAGCTTATTTTCATACATTAATACTGTGCTATCAACTAAATTGCTCATTTACTTAAAGTTACATCAACAGCTCAGGGGCAGGACAATTGTTATTATCGTTCACCTTTTAATTACTTTTTGTTGCATTTAATCATAAATTTAAAGTTTACCATTGATATAAGAAACAATTTTCATGTTAAGTGTAGGAGAGAGCCTAGTATGAAATAAGCTTTTTCCGACATCTCTCATACACAGGGTTATGAGGAAAATTTTTACCAAGGGATTTCTCACTATGTTAATATCTTGACTGTGCAAAGTGAAAAATGACACAAGTGAAACACCCAGACGAGTTCAATTTGGTTAATAAAGTCTATGTGATCATTTATTTACACAAATTAAACAGATCATAAGTTACA